CGAGAGCTATAAACTGTTAACTACATTTTCATAAGATATTGTAGGTGCGTCATATTGTGATTTTATTTAAAAATAGTATTAAAATATATTAAAATTATCCGTCAATCACAATAAAGTAATATAAGATAATTAAATGGTTAAAATATTATCTTTTGTTCCGTATCGAGTACTCGATTTACATATGGAACATTCTCGACATGTTTCGGCTTTCATAGAGCCGTCATCAGGTGTATGTTATAAACTCTTAATTCAATTACTAATTTTTAATTTTTCTGGTAAGTTTATACGTTTACATTTATTTATTTTGTTTTCTATATTCAATTTCATTAATGGTTTTGAATCCTTTAATTCACAGACCAATATACGCAGCATTAACATCACTCCGACAATACGATTGTATCAATGATATATAACACAACAACAAATGTTGATACAATGTGAAAAACGAAGAAATGATAAGAAAATTAAAAATTAGTAATTGAATTAAGAGTTTATAACATACACCTGATGACGGCTCTATGAAAGCCGAAACATGTCGAGAATGTTCCATATGTAAATCGAGTACTCGATACGGAACAAAAGATAATATTTTAACCATTTAATTATCTTATATTACTTTATTGTGATTGACGGACAATTTTAATATATTTTAATACTATTTTTAGATTTTAATATTGTTCAATCAGTTACTATTCATAGGCTTGCACACTTACTACCCACCTAGGCGGCAGTCTATACAAACCAGGTCAACAGCATCCTGGGTTGTAACAACGTTAATAACGAGATTTTCGAAATTGTTGTCCAACATACTGATGTCACTGAAGGCATAAGATAAGAGTGTAAAGGCCAAACACAGTACACGTATGAAGATGGCTGTTTTGTGACTTATTGAGTCCGGTAGAAGCTCACGGACTTTTGAGGTACTTGCTGCCGCCATCATCAGGGCGATCACTGACCTTGATTATGGAGGCAGCAAGAGCCTCTGAAACGTCGGCAAACATATACCAGACTATACGGCACAACATCTCAGAAGTCAACCACCTTCATACTAAGTACACGTAGTTTCAAAATGCGTCCTTTTCAATTTTTTGTGTACCTTGTCTTCTGTGATGTTCATTTGCTACCACAATTTTATACAACTTTCATTACAATGCCTGATATATTACTTTATAAGAAGACATCAAACGCTGAAATTATGTCCAATAAGACAGAGAGAGGATTAAGGGAGAATAGCACCACGGTCTATTTGAAGGTCCTGACATTACCTTGGAAGAAGTGGGGATAATCCAAAATGAGGAAAATCAATATCCTGTCTGGTATCTAAACTTTGTACTTCCCAAAGCAAGCTGGTAAACTTCGCAATAACCTGATTAATCCATTCGTCAGCCTTACACAGAATGTCGAATTCAATGAATAAAAATAAACTCATTTTAATAAACTAAACCATTACATTGCATTTACTGAATTAGCGAATCTAGTGCAGGTGTTAACTGTGGACCATACTAGGTTCCCCCCGCAAACACAACGCACGAAGGTCGGTAAGAAGGTTAATATCAGTATTATATGTGTACGCATCTTTTGAGGGTATATACTTTCTGAAAGTGATGTAACGTCAATAGAAATTGATAGTGGAACCACGGTTCCGGAGAATTTGACGTAAATACGTCTATACGGAAAGGAAGTTTATATATTGGCTTTATTATAAATATTTCCTTTATACATACTTTACAATTGAGTAAAGTTTGATTAAGACATTGCTTAATCAACTTGAATTAGTTACGCTTAAGATGGGTCTGTGGCAGCTGAATGTAATGAAATGTAATGTAACGTTTCCTAGGTAATTGTATTCCCTTATACGTTCAGGTTGTCAGGGACCTGCTCATACATATATACATTCTTGGCAGATGATCCAGAAGTGGTTTGCCATTGCCTTCTTCTGTGTGTGTGTGTGAGTGGAGTAATTGTTGGGATGCCACGGAGAAACCAGGGAAGCCCCCGGAGGAAAACTCCGTGATGCCTAGACAACGGCCTTGCCCAACACAAGTTATAAATCTGAGCACCACCGGGAATTAAATCCGGGGCCCCAGGATTACAAGGCTAGTGTTCTGACCGCTAGACCACAGTGGCCCAAGGAGTCCTACCAATGTCAAAATAATTTAGGAAACCTTCCACGTGTGAGGAGGCCAAGATCATCCAAAGACTGTAGACCCACTAGCGGACAAAATAATGTTAAGACCTGAAATCGAAGATGATACGAAAAAACACCTGTATTCTTGTTTGCGTCAATTAGAAACAAATTACATATAAAATATTATTTGTATTCATCCGTGTGGGTAAACATCAATCGGCTTCACGTAAACGTTGCAGCTGATAAAACACCATTAAATAAGCAACGACTGGCAAGACAGAAGCCAGAAAATACGATGAACAGGTGTCATGTAACCAGTTTCTGGCTTTATCGGTACAACTTAGTGTTAGGACACTCTAACGCGTACATAATCTAGCACTTTCCTCGTATTAGTGTAGAAGGTTCAAAGTTATGAGTTGAGAGGGAAATCGGCATTGAAACAGAAATGCGACATGCAAAGGTCAACCACTTCTCGGCACAAAATTACAATACAGCCTGTCTACATGTTTGATGAGAAATAATAATTCCCAATATTCATAAGGCGTAATAATATATTCCAGATTATTTTAGTCTCTGGGTCTTAATTCCACCAGGCAAGGTCTCTCTTAAATTTATACTTGCTCAACTGGTCAGGCAACTCCCCACTTTTATGAAACCGAAAGTTCACATCCATTCATGTCGTAAACTACTTGAATCCAGTGCACACCATCACACATGAACTCTGTAATGAACACTGCAATATTATCTCCCCATGTATTATTTGGCATCCCAAGTGAGAGGAAATGTCCCACCCATCTCATCCTCCTGACTCAACTTTCCTACGCATTTTTAGCGAAAAGTACACATTATGAAGATCCTCGTACGAAGATTGTTAGTCGTCTCCTGGGTTGTTGCGCCTGGTAGAAGTTCATCGACGTTTCAGAGGTGACGGCTGCCTCCATAATCGCCCTGATGATGGAGGCAGACTATACGGCACTACAACCCGGAATACAGCCATCTTTATACACACCTTGTAACAAGCAGAACTCACATGAGGTGTTGTCTATTTTATCTTCTTAATGATGCATAATATGAAGACCTCTAAAACGTTGGTAAACATCGACCAGACTACACAGCGGAACAACCCAGGAGACAGAAATCTTCATACTCATCGCCCTGATAATGGAGGCAGTATGACCTCTGAAACGTTGGTAACCATCGACCAGACTACACAGCCCAACAACCCAGAAGACAGAAATCTTCATACTAAGAATCGCCCTGATAATGGAGGCAGTATGACCTCTGAAACGTTGGTAACCATCGACCAGACTACACAGCCCAACAACCCAGAAGACAGAAATCTTCATACTAAGAATCGCCCTGATAATGGAGGCAGTATGACCTCTGAAACGTTGGTAACCATCGACCAGACTACACAGCCCAACAACCCAGAAGACAGAAATCTTCATACTAAGAATCGCCCTGATAATGGAGGCAGTATGACCTCTGAAACGTTGGTAACCATCGACCAGACTACACAGCGCAACAACCAAGAAGACAGAAATCTTCATACTAAGAATCGCCCTGATGACGGAGGCAGTATGACCTATGAAACGTTGGTAAACATCTACCATACTACACTACGCAACAACCCAGAAGACAGAAATCTTCATGAAGATATCCGTCTTCTGGGTTATTGCGCTGTGTAGTCTGGTCATCGCCCTGATGACGGAGGCAGTATGACCTCTGAAACGTTGGTTAACATCGACCAGACTACACAGCGCAATAACCCAGATGACGGATATCTTCATACTCACCGCTGTGAGAACCTCAAGTCTTACACAGAAATCTTCATACTCACCGCTGTGAAAACCTCAAATCATACGATGTATAATATGCTATACGTTTCTGACAGTGTATGGCGTGTGCACGTACGCTTCGCAGCTATCCCATTCGTATTACATGCTCTGGCCATCTCGTTTTCTTTTATTTTATCACAGAAATTATATATTAGACTCCAATTTCTTAATTAGCCTCCGCGTTACTTCCTTTCTCTGTGATATCCAATATTCTCCTAAGCACCAAGTCACCATATATTTTCAATCTACTGCCTTTGTTCAAAGAGACGAATTTCTACATCCATGAACCAACTTGTAAAACAGCACTTTTTATATTTTTACCTTTACGTATTTAGAAAAGATGCTAGTCAACGAATGATCTGAAATGCATGATCAATTGAGACGCTCTTAATCAATTTCATCATGGAACCGCTGGCCAGACTCAAACCGAGTACAGCCTAAATACAAGTCACGGATATTATTGCTTGCAAAAACGTGTTCGGTCGTAATAAAGAAGTGAATGAAGGCGACATGCCATGAGACCCTTGCACAGTGGGTAGACTCAAGATCCAGTCTGGAAAAGGTAATGAACAGAAAAAACTTTGCCGCTACTTGGAACTGGATCCCCGCCACGCTGCCCAAAGCCAAAAAATTGTATCAGTAAAATGTTTAAATACACTCCTTCAACTCCATAAATCGTAAAATTAGGTGGAAAGAACATCATGAATAGTGAGTAGGTAAGGAACTAGAAGGAGCGTTTCAGACATGCAAATGGAGAAACTGAGGAGAAACATAACCTAAGCCAGAATAGTCGATATTCGAACCGGGCAGAAGTCTAGAGAATTATCTTTCCATCAACCTGCTCGAACCTACAAAAACTAATAACAATCAGCATTATATATGTTACGTACTGAAGCATGAGAATGACTAATTACTGCAAATACGCCTCTTTTGATCGAATATTCGAGGACTGGAGATACAGCATTGCGATAGATGTACAGCAGGAACTATTCATGAGTTTAAGAGTCGGGTGTCCTGCACCGCAATTCGCGCAATGGGGAAAGCTGAAGTATGGACGATGGCGGGGAGGAAGAAATGCAGTGATTATGGCTGCGAGTTCACAGTCAGGGCGTGAGTGTCAGAGGAGCAGCATCAGGACCCCCCAAGCCGGCGAGCGAGTGAGTGTGTGTGGAATTTCCTACAAAGGTAAATATAACAGTCCTTTCGATATTGTTGCAGCTCAACAATTTGTATTCTGCTGCAATTTTTATTACTTATTACACAACAGCGAAAAACCATTGCGGTAGTGAAATTTGAATATGATATTTTTTTAAAAGTGGCTTTTAGAGCTAGGGTTCACAAGTAAAAACTTCTGAGGTATCAGACACATCAGAACCCTGATGATGGGGACAGAGTTGGTTCCTGAAACGTCGGTTTACTACGGTAACCAGTTAACGCGGCTGATTGCCCGAGAAGATTTTATTGGTTGTACTCGCCGCGAAAGTCTCAAATCCATACGTTAGTGAACCTTCATGGGATTTATTGACTAGCTGAGGAGGACTCATGGATTTAGTTTCAAGAGCATAGGTTGTGCTGCCTCAAATAAAATAAGACTGTCATGAACGGTGGAAAGCCAAAGATCTAGACGGAAGCGATCACTTTCAGTTTCAAATGCACCTTCCCTTAATTTTCCTGGAGAGACTTACGAAGAAAATCCAAAATCTGTCGGGGTTCGTGATAACGCAATCGAAATTTGAACCGGGTGCTGTCTGAATAAAGGCGTAGAATACGGATACACCTTCCTGCTCCTTGAGGATATGGTCTATTGTAAGGTACTGAAGCAGCAATTCATAATATGGACTGATGATTATCATGACAGTCGGTCAAAAATTTGATATATTCATGTCATAAATATAAAGTTGTCTCCAAATGTCAATTGGTGATCACTTAAGAATTCCTGACGTACTATCGAGGTTAAGACGGTGAAGAGTGTTATCAGTATTAGTAAATATGATCGTAATTCCATCACACAAAGAACGCAAACGACTTTCGTTGTCTAAGAGAGCAGGAACGTCTGCAAGAACCAAGGTCTTCTGCGAGACCTTCGGTATTATCCTTACCGCAGACCTCTCCAATCTAAAACTAAAGGTCACTTGATGGAACGAGAGGTCGGGTATTACCCGTATTGCAGACCCTTCCCATCTCCATCCTTGGCGACTTGAAACAACTGAACGGTGTTACGTGTAGCTCGCATCCAGGGGAACACATTGCTAATCCAGACTGGGCTACCAGCTATACTGGTTGAGGTAGCCTGCGATTTTCCTCAGTCCCTCTGGGGTACCGCGCTTAAATAGATTACCATCGCCTCCTCTCAAATCCTTCCGATGTCATCTTCCCATCTTGTTCAACGCAGTTAAACCTACCCTCTGGAACCTACCTAACTCCTAACTTGAGAAGCTGATAGTACGCACAGCTAGTCAAGAAATTCCCCAACTTTTATGGAATCTGAAGTTTCATTACCGTGTTTGCAAGAGCCCACCACTGGTTCCTACAGTGAACCAGATGAACCCAATCCACATTAACGAGCCCTATTTCCCTAAAATGTATTTAAATATCATCCTTCCTTATACGCCTAGGTCTTCCGACTTGAATCCTCCCTTCATGTTTCCCAGCTAAAGTTTTGTACACATTTCTCCTGTCTCCCACGCGAGTCACATGCCACTCCCAGCAAAGTAGTTGGAAAACCTGACAGGAAAATCTCCAGGAGGCCATGCAGCAGTGTTTACGCGTTTCTGGATTCCTCTTATCCAGCAAGTATTATGTCCAAACCATTTCAATGAAGTCCAACGGCAATTACTTGCTATTCTAATTTCTTTATCACAATTAATTTTAGGAAAACGTTGTTCTGTTTGACAGGATTAAAAATATAAAGAAAATAATTGAATAGACTGCTTCTCAGAACTAAAATCCGTATCGATATAGAACAAATAATGTGGATCGGAGGGCAACAATTTGAACTTTCTCATACGAACGCCTATATTTAAACATTCGTAAATAATTCAGATTTCAATTTTCCCATTACTACACCTCTACGGCTAATGCGCTCTGACGAATGAGTTGTTGTGAATCTAGAGATGTTATTTATTAATACTGATTTAGAGGGCCTGTACCAAGGTACCATCCCGGATTTCGCATAGAGAAACTATGGTAAATCACGAAACAAGTTCCTCATAATCTGGCCGAGATTTCATCACGCAAATTTTATTATTTATCGTTACACTAACCTACTCGTTTCACACGACTTTTTTGTGTATATCTTCTTGCGATCAAGCTCGAATTAACTTTCCTACTTCAGTAGCATTTAAAAACATGTCCGAGCTATGCAGGTTAATTTGCACATATGTTTCGCAACGTAAGTGACATGAGGCAAGCGTTCAGTGAGAGATAAGTGAAATCTTTTGCGAATACAGCCTCTCACTTACAACTTCTGATGCTCATGGAAAAGGAACATTGTTTCGTGCACAATGCTGTGAAACGTACACCAGCTGTATAGAAATGGGAACCAGTTTTTCATTGTACGGATTCCTCAATAAATTGGTCTGATCTCCCACCAAATGTGAATGATTGGTTAATGCGTCTATAGTCGACCGACCTGCGATGGTTACACAAGACAGTCAACGCATGACGCAACAAACCGACTTCGTAACTGAAAGCTCTACATTACTATTTGCACTGGCATTCTTCTTCCCTCCAAATACAATGGTCATACCGCCAAGACTCGGATTTTTAACTTAGAAATGAGCCCTTCCTCCACACCATCCTATAATGGTTATACTGCCAACAGTCAAGTTCCTGAATTAGGTATTGGCTTGGTGGCTTTTCATTCGCACCAGATGGTTTGGTTGCATATCGGGTTGTAGTTTCTGACAGGTGAGACGCAGGCGTAGAAGAGGTTGAACATGGCAGGACTGTATCATTCTGCTAAAACATCTCAGCATTGAAAGCGTTAACGGATGATGTATTAGACATTCGTTAATGTTCGTATTTACTTACTTTGTCAGGTATATACGTAATTCTCTTGAGGTGTAATGCAATATAAAATACTTCAACCAAACTTCGGTTTTCACTGGCTGATACGTGGTTACCTCTCCGGCTTCTGCTATATGGCTGTTGATATTCTGTAGCAAACTGACCAAAAAAGAAACTGAAGTGAAAACAGAATCATGTATAACTTGTTTCATTCATGATCATTCATACATGACTTTGCCATACACACAATCAAAGCCTGAACGCGTAAGGTCAACGAATAGGTAAGAACAGAATGTTGTTGTATGTGGAAGTCACACAAGAAGTTATTCAGATGAGTTCTTTAGGATATCTGTCGTAAATGCTAATTTACTGGAGATAATATATATTGTTTCATTACTGAAACAACATTGGAGAGTCATAAATTACTTGTCTTTGTATTTTATCAAAGTAACAGCCTAAAATGTTTCAAATAAACTATGCATTTGTTAACGAAGCCTGTATGACACGACAAAGATTTAATTTTATTCCAACATTAAATTCGCTCTAAAACTTGTAATATTAATCGCAAATATTAAGTTTAAAATAAATCCGTCCAGTAGTTACCGGTTAAGACTGATACTGACGACATAACAGAGACAAGACCTATCAATTTTGAATTGGTCTCATAAAAAGGCGAGTGGTCATCTTCACGCTACTGTCGCTGTACCCCGTTGCCAACTGAACTGGGCCCCAAAGTCGGTCTGGACTTTGATACAGCAGTGGGCTGACATGTTATTTAAATGTTGAAAGCTGCATGCTTCGTTAAATACCCTCATAAGTATGGAACGACAGTTACTCCAGTAACGTGCTGTGCGCAACAAAGTTTCAGTCGAATTATGATCGAGGTTAAATTTCACCCGTGCAAGCAGAACACCGAATGAAAGTGAAAGTTATGTCACCGCCTTCAAAACAAATCATAAAAGATATACATGTTGACATAGTCCAACAATTATTATTTGAAATATATCGTCTTAAAATACATGTAGACATAGTCCTATAATTATTATTTGAAATATATCGTCTTAAATATTAATAATGCCAGTGTGATTGACATTAACTCATTTAAATTATTTCTTCAGGTTACATGTTCACCATACCTGAAGGCGGAAAAGTTTCTGAAACTCATTTTAAAAAAATGTTGAATGATCTTCGTGAAATGCAAGCTCAGAGACAGACAAGGTAGTTATCGTGAACTGCTCCTCACGCAGCAAAAACAAGAACTGGTTTTAAGGGCGACTATTTGGATCACAGCTGCATTTTAATAACTGCTGAAAAACGTCTTGGTCTCAAAATATGAAGGCCTAAGGTGGACACCTAAACACAGCCTAAATGATCCTATATATTTGCTTTATTACAAAATGATTACAGTAAATGGGTTTGTTATTCGCTGCACTGAACAAGAATGTAGTGTTTTGTCCGTCAGAGGACCTAATCCCACGCCAATGTCCAATACTTTGGCGTAATACTCTTTTGTTTTATAGAATATCACGGGACAATGGTTCATACTCGTATGCTGTTATGATTAGGAAAATTCCTGCTAACACAGAATGTGCTAAATTTTGGCTGTATGGCTGTAAGACATTTTCAAGTGAAACATACTTACAAGACGTCATAGCCTGTTACGTATTTTACTCGACGTAATCGATAAAAATATCGTTATTTAATAATATCCGGTCTACTCTTCGTGAGATATTCGGAGCAAAGAAAGTGTGGCTTACACCCGGATAGATATGGCATGTTTTTCGGTGTATAAGTCCAACATAAGCGAGAAGATGTTACATTTAGCTTCATAAACACTTATTTGGAACAGAAGGTGTTTTCGAGTGTTACAAGCTCTCATGAGATCTATAGAATTACACAGTTAAGAAGTATCCTCTTATTCCAAAAAAAATACAGCTTCATGGTAACTGTAATTCATACAACATGGCTGTAATTATTACCACGCATAATGAATATAAACGGGAGTGTACGCAACTATGAAATGTTGTTCAAACTCTGATTACGCTGGAATTGTGTATTATTAAAATGACAGCAAAGATTCTCGGGGTTAGTAACGCTGAAATGTGCGTCACCATTTCTATACTTGACAGACTCCTCAGGGACCTACAGTGGGCCAAACGGTAGCAACAAGGTCATCT